GATGATAAACATTTGTATCAGGTCAACTAAACATGGGCATAGTAACAGTATTTTTATACTACATTTATCCATTTTAAATATACTAACCTCACTCCTTTGTAACAACTACAGCAAAAATGTAATTAATTCAGAAAAACTTTTCAGGACCCCACCTTGATGTTTCGGGACCCTACTTTGGGTCCCGACCCCAACTTTGGGAAATAATGCTCTAGAAGACCAGGATTGGACACCCCTATTATTTATCCAGTAGCCTGTTGTGCAGGTGCAGAGGTCTTCATTACCCACTGTCCTGCATGTCTTAGCTGTTTCCCTGCTCCACACCTGATTCAAATAATGTAATTACTCACTCAGAATGTTATAAAGTTGCACAGTGGCCAGTTCAGTTACTCATCAACTTCAGTCAGGGATGCTGAAGCAGGCAAACCACTAAAACATGCAGGACAGTGGGTTATGAGACCTCTGTTCAGCGTCAGTTCTTGCTTATAACCAGAAGGGGGCACCATTACATCATAACATGAACCTTTCTGTGAATTCACATAAAAAAMAATCTGCAGACTGAGTAGTTTATCAGTGAAATTTATTCTTGTTTTTTTGTGACTCCTGTACAACTCTCTCCTTACATACAGAAATAAAATATTCTGATATACTCTTTCATAAACAAATAGCTTAGACAGGGACACAGACTGGTCACACTGAAAAAAAAAGATTTTATTATATTACACAACTATTCTTATCTCAGTGGCATACAGTAAACCCTCACACTTGACTCATCCACATGATTTCCTTCAACATATCATGGGTGCTCTTAAAGGCAGTAAAAAATAGAAGTACTATTCCAAGTATTTGTGTGGGAGTAATATAATGAGAATTTCTTCCTTGGTATATCTCACGTTTAGATGACCTGATGCTGGTTATGGTGGGAATTAAGATGGATGGTTTCAAGATAACTAAATAAATAGAATAACACATTAAGAAAAACATGGTAAGAACACAAAAGTGTGAAGACAGTTTCTCATACAACCTATAATGTGAGATCATGAAGCTTATATACTAAATTTCTTTTCAGTGACCAAACCAGAATTAGATTTTGTTGCATTGATGCCTAGTTTGAACTTCACAGGACTCAGACAGGTATTACAAACATTTCACCTAATGCGTATTTAAATAGGATATCATACAAATGAGAAATAATTTCCCTGAAAAAATGAACATTTGGTGATTATCTGGGGTCACACTGAATCAGGGGCTGATTGCTCAGCAGAGGCATCTATCCTCTTATGTCCGAGAGTCCCTCATCCCCTTCACATCAATCTTTAGTTACTGTACGTGCATGTGTGGCAAGAGGTGATTGACGGTTCTCGGTGATCATTACAGCTTACAGAAATTTTCGCAAGATGTCCTTGATTTCGTAACAGTCAATTGTGCATCTAGTAGTTCTGCCACTAGGTATTACTCAGCCCTGCAGTGCTCTCTTCCTGTGACTGCTGAACATCGGTAAAACAAACGCTGAAGCATGTTGTCAATTTGTTTTCTGCCTGTCTCTGTTTAAATCATCGGTGTAAAACTTGGCAGCACACTGTGATCTAAAAAAAAAAGAAGCAGTGCACAGTTTAGGGGTGTAAGATCATTTTAATGAGCACTTGTCTCAGTTTAATTATTTTCTTGACTCTGTTGGAATTTGGTTTTGGGCACTAGCTAAAGAAACTCTTCAAAGTCACTGTGACCTTATCTTTGAGCTTTCATTTGTGATGTCACAGATCAAGGTACTGGAAAGAAATTGTCACCTCACAATGTCAGATTCAGGCTCCTGATTGTGTTTAATTTATGACCTCTCTGCGAGAAGTGACAAGCTCCGATACACTTGTGATAACTGGCACATGCATTAATAATTCAACAAATGACAAAAATATCCTTTAGCTTGCACCAAGAAGCCAAATGACCTAAAACTAGTTGCAACTGTGMAATAGTTTATACATAGCAGCTTAAAACTATCATTCCTTTTAAACAGTTGACAGGTTTCTGTGCGGATTGACCTGCTTAGCTGTTTGTCAAACAACAGCATTGTTTATGATTTTTTAATCATTCTTTTTATTATTTTTTGTTTAAATTTATGAAGGTTTCTTTTGTTGTTTTGTTTAGTTTGCATCCTGTTCGTCTTCTGACACACCAGGTTTGGCTATTGGTCCACCTGCAGTTTATTTTCTGATTACACTTATCGATATATAAAGCATTGTATAATACTTGTGTTTCTTTGTTCCTTACACAGTCTAGTGCACTATTTTATGACAATATTGTGCAGCTTGCCACATATAGTAGCTACAGGGAAAGGGCAGGTAGAATGGTAAAAGAAGAAAATATATATATATTATTGTAAACTTTAGAGTAAAATATTAATATTTGTAAAACATAAATCTGTAAGTTTTGTTAGGAAACACTACATTAAATATACTATTTATTAGTATTTTGCACTGCAATAACAGGCTTGCACTGGAGCATGAATGTCAGATTAATTAACTTAAGACTATTGTTCACTGTTACAAAATAGTTTGAGAGTTTGTTTACAAAATTACATTATGATTTATATATTTTTTTAACTGTAGACTGTTTTTTAATTCTATGATAAGATCACTTTGCAGATTATCACATCTAAAGCAGAGGTTATGGCTCTTTATACCTTGTTGTTATGTTGAGTTTGACCTATAATATCAGTCCAGACTTCACAGTTTATTTTGATCAATTTTACATTTAAATGTGTAAACAAGTTCCCCTTCTTCCCTTAATGTCTCCCATTTAGATGAAGCCCTTAGTATAAAAATGTTCATGTGCAGTAAAACATAACGAATATTTTATACTTAAAACATGTTTTTTAAGAAAATTGTTGTTTAATTAAAAATTAAATCACATATGACAAGTGTTTTTGCACCGTAATGGCAATTACAATTTTAGTTATGTCCTCTTCTCAGTTTATTTTATTATTTTTTTTTTAGTAGAAGTCTACTTTCATTAAAATAAAATTCCTGCCTGGGGGTGTTTCAAGGTGACTACAAAGCCCTGGTTCTCTAAGCACTTCTGACTGCAGTTGTTAATCCTAACCTTTTAAAACACAAGACGTGATGAAGTTTTATGAAAGTCACATAAAATCTTAATCACTTTAGACCGTCAGATAATTAAAGCCAGAATGAGACATTCATATTTGTCAGGATGTTTTGCAGCACTGATAACATATTTTACAATAACTACTGCTGTTGATTACTTTTTTATGACAGTCTGAGAAAAAAAAGTCTGTTTTTTAATAATACCATGGCCACATAAAGTAAGGACTCACTACGCTGTGATATTTTACACATGTTTTAGTCAGTAGTGTTGCGCTGACACAACTGAAGTCATTAGATAGCACAGATGGAATGGCCAGCTATTTCTGGACCTTCTAATGGGGCCGGTCACTGATGTTTAGAGACCAGACCTCAAGAAGTTCAGAAACGGCCCATTTTTCAYAAAATCAACATGTTGGCATTTATATACACATCAATAAACATTAAGAAGATATTGAGGTGTTTTATGATTATAAAGTTGGGTTTTTATTGTGGAAGTTTATCCCAAATCTCTTGCTGAACTGATCCCATGTTGAAGTTGGAAAACGGTGAAACAGGAATCAGTACTTTTCCTTTTTTTTAAATTCTTCCTTCTCTGGCACAATGGGTCAACACTCTTTTAGCATTCACTGATAATAAATCTGTATTATTCCTACGTTTGGTCACGTTTGTACGTCAAACAMTTAGTGGTTTTGATCACCCACAACAAACTATCAGAGGTAATGACTGCACCTGACAAGTCTTCTGAAGGCCTTTTTAAAGTCTTCGTTAAAGATGGTATAGATGAGCGGGTTGATCAGAGAGTTCAGGTAGCCCAACCACGTAAGAAAGTCAGCCATTTCCATGGAAGTATTACAAGAGCCACAGGTGTTGACGATCACTTCTTTGACAAAAAATGGTAGCCAGCAGATGACAAAGGCTCCTATTATCAGCCCCAAAGTTGATGCTGCCTTTCGCTCCCTTGAGCCTGAGATCCGAGGTCCTTGGTAGAACTGGCTTCGACGAGACTCAGTACTTGATTCCTGTTTGTGTGACTTGCTCTGAAAAGCCTTTCTTGAGACCCGAACACGTTCACGTGGTGTTTCCTCGGTGGAGGGTTCAGAAAAAGACTTTTCCTGTGGGCTAATAGGTTCTGGACTCCGAGGCCCACCATCAGCATCGCTGGGGTAGGATGACGGGATCATGCTCCCGTTGGTCATGCATGAGTGACGGCTAGCCCTGCTAGCCTCCCTCCGCATGTAAAGCGTCTGAGCGGCCTTGTAGATTTTATAGTAGAGAATAAGAATGAGCAGCAGGGGGATGTAAAATGCTCCGAGAGTGGAATAAAGAGTGAAGGCCATGTGGTGGTGGATGATGATGCACTGGTCTTCGTGCTCGGCGTCGTCGCTGTAGTGCCGCCACAGCAGCGGAGGAAGAGAGATGAGGATGGACAAAAGCCAGACAACCGCCACCATGGCACCAGCCCTGGCTCCGGTGCGTTTGCGAGAATACTCCACGGCGTCGGTGATCGCCCTGTAACGGTCGATGGCGATTGTCGCGAGGTGCAGGATGGAGCAGGTGCAACAGGTGATGTCCACACTTAACCAGATGGTGCATACCACCTCACCCATGACCCATTTCTCCTTCTGGATGTAGATGATACTGAAAGGCATGACCAACACAGCCACCAGTAGGTCAGTCACTGCTAACGAGCAGATGAGGTAGTTGGCCGGGTGGTGTAGCTTGCGAGTGACGGCTATAGCTGTGATCACCAGGCAGTTAAAGAACGTGGTGAGGATGGTCACCACAGACAGGGTTATAGTTAGTAGGACTTTACTGGGAGGAAGCTTGGCATTCTCAAATGAGACATAACTGCTGCTGTTTGTGTCAAACGCCCCCTCCGTCCAGTTGGGAAAATCCATTCTGCAAAAGAAAACAGACAAATATTTCTGCGTGAAACATAAAAGTGAAAAACAACAAATTTTATTTCAAATTAAGTCACATCATTCAGAGTGGTATAACGTGAGAAATTATCTTATTTTGGCACAGATTAAAGAGTATTTTAAACTGTTCAAAAGTCACTTCACCTTTTTTATTTATTAATTTTTTATAAACACCCGGGCCAATTATTTGGGGTTTTGCACTTTGTATATAAAAGATATCAAAGTGTGCGAAAAGAGCCGTTTCATCCAGCGATATGCTTTTAAAATGAAAAAGACTTTGAAGACTCTGCTCAAGGCCGTGAAACAACTCGAGCTTTAAAAATCTCATCTCACTCACAAAAGTTTGCCCTTACATTTATTGTAGTAATCCAAGTCCTACCTGTCTACACTTTGATGTTCTGTCTCATCCAGTTGGTTCAGTGTGCAGCGGACTGTCTGCTGAAATCTGTGCTGCCTGCTGAATCCGCCATCACCTCACCTCTGTCACTCAGCGCCTAAGAGAAAGGAAACACAGCAGGAAAACTGTGAAAAAGATGTACTTGAAAAARCCTAAATTATTTCAACTTTTCATTTTTGACTTTCAGAGAAAAAACATGACATTTTTGTTATTCTGTTCTTCACTGCAATACATTTAGTCCTATTTTAGCTTGAATGTTGTGTTTCAGCTCACTTTAACAACCACATTTGAAAGCCTAGTCTGTGTTTATTGGGATTTTATTGGTAAATTTGGCTGAGAGAGTGGTAGATAAATAAAGACAGTAAATCCTGGATTTGTTTGTTGGACTTATCAGGGAAGTATTTTCTATAGAAGAGCTCATAACGGTGTAATGGAGGCAGTGCAGCTCTGGAAAACTGAATGCACAAACACAATATATTCGACACACTGACTAGTAACCAAAAAGACAGAAACACCTTATTTTAGAAA